GCTCTCCCCCGAAGGTGCTCTTTAAGAGAGGTTTTGAAGGTAAGTATAGTTTTACTTTCCTTTACAGTTGTGGGAAGAGCGTTCCACCTTGATGTGGCATAATTGCGAAACGTGTATTCCCACTTTTTTGTGCCAAATCTGGGTTTCACATGATTTGTGGAGCTCCCTCTGGTGTTATGATCATGGTATTCCTTGACCTTTGGGAATAATTTTGACATGTACATGGGTACCATAGAGGTGTAGTGGATCTTGTAGACCAGGCCCATTGCAAGTAGCTGTACTCTGTCGTCTACTCTGTCGTCCAGTTTTAACCAGATCCACCAGATAATAACAACCACTACATAATAACTAGACACGTCTGTCTAAAAAGAGTCCTCGGTAAAAAAAAACTTGATTCTTACACAGAAAAGCAATGTCATTTATAGAGATGAGACACAGGAAGGAAGGCAATCGACATTACAGTCCTAAATTGGGTGGGGGCAGACAGAATAGGCGCATTCACACTGTGGTACTTTTCCCACAAAGGTTCATGTGAACTCTTTTATCGCGTTCACACCAAAAAGAGCCGGTACTAAAATTAGTTCATGTGAACCTTTTTACCCCCACGAAAGTCCCTGCTGAGAGCTGCTAGAGAGCAGGGACTTTCGAGCGGCTCTTTTGTGAGAAAAGAGCTATATTTCTGATTGGCTGGGCGGATTGCAAACCACGCCCCGTAAAACTCCCAAAAAGTTTTGTGAAGCCGCCATTTTATTATCCTCGCATTAGCATTATTAGCATTAGCCCAGCGCAGAAACGCAGAGAGACTAACTTATGGCAACACAAAATAAAACATGGGAGCGGTGGAGATGAGGAGGTGTCGGCGTTCTGGCGATTTACTCGGAAGGCTTCAGTAGAAGCTGCTGGGAGTCCCAGCAGCTTCTACTGAAGCCAGTCCCCAACTCCGGGGACTTCCGGCCGGGGACTTTGGGCGGCAGTATACGCCGTGAAGTGGTTTGCGGCCTGCCAGTAAACCCAAAGCAGAAGAAGAACAAGTGACGTCAGCGGCTTCATTTGCCTAATCCACCCCCAGGGGCTTTTCAATCAATGTTTATTTATATAGCCCAATATCACAAATGTTACATTTGTCTCAATGGACTTTACAGTTTGTACAAAATATCAGTATGACAATACGACACCCTCTGTCCTTAGACCCTCACATCGTACAAGGAAAAACTTCCGAAGAAAACCCACAGTTTAAAGGGAAAAATGGGAGAAACCTCAGGGAGAGCAACAGAGGAGGGATCCCTCTCCCAGGACGGACAGACGTGCAATAGATGCCGTGTGTAAATTGAAAAGATAATACATTTGCAACATAGGTAGTCCAAATGTTTGGAAATGCATGTGTGTATAATAGGAAGATGAATCCACGAGGATATCCATCCAGGACCTATGATCCAGGACCACAGCCACGACTCAAGATCCAGGACAGAGGAGCGCAGGATCATCCATGACTCCGGATCCCGGCGTATACAGACACCAAAAAGAAAGACATTTGGGGAAGCTGGGTTAATCGGAACATGAGAGTACACAGGTATAGACAGAGAGAAGGAAGAAGTAAGATGTCCCCCGACAAACTAAGCCTATATCAGCAAAACTAGGGGCTGAATCTAATCAGCCCTAACTATAAGCTTTATCAAAAAGGAAGGTCTTAAGCGCACTCTTAAAAACGGATAGGGTGTCTGCCGCCCGAACACAAACTGGAAGCTGATTCCACAAATGTGGAGCTTGATAAGAAAAGGCTCTGGCTCCCATTGTACTTTTAGAGACTCTAGGAACAACCAACAACCCTGCATTCTTGGAACGCAATGCCCTAGTAGGACAGTAGGGTATAATGAGTTCTTTAAGGTAAGATGGCGCCTGCCCATTAAGGGCTTTGTAGGCGAGAAGAAGAATTTTAAATTCTATCCTGTGTTCTATAGGGAGCCAGTGTAAGACAGCCAGAACAGGAGTAATGTGGTCCCTTTTCCTAACTCTGGTTAGTACACGAGCTGCAGCATTTTGAATCAGCTGAAGCGACTTGACTGACTTCTTGGTACACCCTGATAATAAAGAGTGATCGCTTTTTCCAGTGTGAACGCGATCTGTACTTAGTTCATGCGAACTAAAGAGTTCACATGAACTAAGTTCACATGAACCTTTGTGGGAAAAGTACCGCAGTGTGAATGCGCCTAAGGAGAAGCACAGCATGTTAATTCAAATTAACATCCATATGATAATTGCCTGACAATGGTCAGGGCGACTCCCTTCGGTCTGAGAACATTTCATAGCGAGGAAACGTACATATATATTGAATCACTATAAATTCCCATCATAATGGCTTTAGAAGCAACTCATGTCATAGACAGGACACATCATTTTCAATTCTGCAAGATGATTTTTATTCTAAAAGGCAAAAGAAATGTACCCTGAATTGAGATGTTTTCATCAACAAGGCTGTGATGACAACCGTCTCACAAACGTACTGATCCTTTAAAACAGCTTCTTTTTCTGCACCAGGGTAGAAAGTCAGAACATCAGGAGACATGACTTTATTCCCAACAGGCACTCACAACAACACAGTCACTCAATTACTGGAACATGTCTTAAATGCAGTCAACACCTGAGATACCGAGCATACAAATTGTGCATGCTGTTAATATGTTTGCTTGTAACATCTGAATGAAAGGTTGATAAATAAATAAAAATGCAACTGGAAGACTTTTTTTCCCTAAAATATGATTATTTACAGCTACTCTGAATTTTGAAGAACATTTACCAAACTCAAACTTACAAAAGAAAAAATCGGAACAGAATTAAGCAGTTACCGTAGATTGTCAATAGTGCAGGTTGTGCTGTTATATAGTTACTGTTCCTTTTACATACAATACATTAATGACAGAAGACACTGCTGTACTGGATGTGCTACCAAAATAGGCGATTCCCTGATGAAGACGTGAAGCCAGCACTGATATGTTTTCCCTCACTGAAGAAGGGCGAGCAGCGGTGTGAATGAACGGTGAATATGCTGCTGGGATCTGTACACAGAAGCAGGGTTTTTGCTGTATGATATTACACTCTCTTTACAGTCTCATTCAATTTTGTGAACTAAGCACATACTCAAACTAAAGTTGTGCAAACTTTCAGTTACATTGGACGCAAATTTGTTTGTTGTTATTGTTTGTTTAGTGGGGTTTAAATACTGCCAAGTCAAAATGGTTTACAGTATCCTATCCTAAGTAAAAAGCAAGTGCTACAAGGTTTAGCATCTGAGATACTGTACAGTATGTTGGAACTAATGCTGCTGTCAGATGGTACTCATGAGCTTGTGGTTATGACATGGGTGTACACAATATATTTGTTGTTAAAGATGTTAAGTCGAAACAACGTGTCAAGCTACCATGGCTAACATTTTAGTAAGCTAGCAAGCATGTAAGGTAATGCATTAAATGCAAATACATAATGACGTCAATAATTCATATCATCTCTTTACTTGAAGATGCTCACCACAATCTCTTTGGAAGGCAACATAAACATAATCATGCTAATGTTAGCATAACATGTTTAATTGTTATTGCATGATGACAGGCTAATAACACATGCTAAAACCTAAATTATAAACACCACATGGTAAGCATGGTCACGCTGATTTTTAGCAAGACCTACTTTGAATATTTAATTCAATTAATTGTAATGGGTGTAATGTATAGGCTACTCTTGTATGCTTACAGCTAATGTTTAATTTTAGTAAGCTAGGTTTAGTAAAGTCAACCAATTTGAGTTTTGAGTTATCCAGTTCATATTTAGGGACCACAAAATGTGAAATACATATTTTATTGAGGGGAAATGAGCCTGCAAGATATAGTCTAAATTAAGTGTAAATGAGAAAAAAACAGGTAGCTAAAATTGCAGTGACATCAGTCTGATCATTTAGAATTGAATTGGCCTATAAGGCATGCTGATTTCGAGAGAGGCCTCAGTAATGTTAGCAAATTGAGACATTGAAATTAAGTTGAGTTCAGAGATGACTTCTATGGAGGACGGAACATGACTTAAGTATAAATAAATAAATGTATGAAGAAATACAGGAATAAATAAATAAATATGTAAATAAATAAATAAATACAGGAATAAATAAATGACGAAATAAATACAGAAATAAATAAATGTTGAAATGAATACACAAATAAATAAATAAAAGAATAAATGCATAAATAAATATGGAAATAAATACATCAATGTATAAATAAATAAATAAAAGTCGAAAATAAAACAGAACACACGTTATTATATATCTTTCATTTATTTCTACATTTACGCGACATACATTTATTTATTTATGTATTTATGTGTCCGTATGCTAATGAGGTGGGAGCGGTCCTAACCTCAGTCTGAAGCAGGATTCGCCAATTGTTGGAGCCAGGCAGAAGCAATAGATTTGTGGCAAGTCACATCATGTCGAGCTGAGCCAAGTCCTCTATACATCGTTCCACACGAAACTGGACATAGTCTTTTGGTTCTCCGTTCTCTAAATGGTCCGCTAATGATCGTAAATGATCTCCAATGGCTCTTAAATCAATATCCATAAATAAACCTTACAACTGTGGATAAACCATGGATGTATAAAGATAAGGGCTAAACAGTAAAGCTCCTGCATTCGAATCAGCGCGGTTATCCAGGCGTTAGTAGTAGAGCCCTCTGCCAGAAATGATCACACACTCCTGTAACCAATCCTGCTTCAGACTGAGGTTAGGACCGCCCACCTCATTAGCATACGGACACATAAATACATAAATAAATAAATGTATGTCGCGTAAATGTAGAAATAAATGAAAGATATATAATAACGTGTGTTCTGTTTTATTTTCGACTTTTATTTATTTATTTATACATTGATGTATTTATTTCCATATTTATTTATGCATTTATTCTTTTATTTATTTATTTGTGTATTCATTTCAACATTTATTTATTTCTGTATTTATTTCGTCATTTATTTATTCCTGTATTTATTTACGTATTTATTTATTTATTCCTGTATTTCTTCATACATTTATTTATTTATACTTAAGTCATGTTCCGTCCTCCATAGACTTCTGCGACCAGGTTGTTTAAGAAGTAGCTCACCTATTTTTTTTATTAAAGAAAAAGGAAATAGTCGTCAGAAAACGGTTGATGACTTCAAAAATGGGAGGGAGGTAATGCGTTCCGCTCTTACACTCTCAACACAGTCTTTTTACCTGGGTGCAAGCAAAGCACGCAAACAAATAATTGGTCAATACTGCTCAAAATGCGATGCAATAACAACATCTTGTCATGTTGCCTCAAGAGTCTGCATTCATACAGTTATTTGTTTATAAAAACAACAACAATAAAAACTAAATTTTCAGGCATTTTTGTTTGTAATAAATTATTTTTCTTTAGGCTACACAGGACAATATTATCTGTTATAAAATGTGCTTATTTCACAAAATGTTCTGAGACTGGGATGACAAAGTCAGCTGGTGTTCAGTGAGAGCTCTCCCAGCAGTGCAGCCAACACCCGTACTGCCAGACTAATTCAATCTCACACTACCTGCAAAAAAAAAAATGTAATACTGTAATTATTGTAAGTGGACATTTGTTAAATCATTGTTTAATCCAGCCTCAGAGTCAGATCAGTCAGTTCGACAACCATTAATCGGCTGCAACTTTTCTTCATATTCAGGCATGAAGCTTAATCATGGCTCACTGCTGAGCCACCAGCTCTGTGAAGAGGCGGGAAAAGAAAGCTTCCAGTATTTGAGTGGCACTGGTCTGAAACTTGTTCCTGCAGTCAGTGGAGGGGAAGGAGCACAGTCTGATCAGGTGGGACAGAGTTCAGATCAGATGTCATTCTTGCATCAGTGTCTCCCTCCAGTCCAAGGAGTGGTTTGGTCCGTGTGTGAGGGGGAGGATGGGAGGGTCCACTAACTGCCAAACCCCTGTGTCTCCCTGCTCCTCACAGGAACAGAAGCCCAGGTAGGGGATCTAAGACCAAGAAGAAGAAACAATAATACGTTTGAGAATTAGTTTTAGAGTGAATTTACCCTTTTTTGTATTGAACCCCTCCTTCATTATTAACTGAACACTGTAATTGCTCATTTGACATTCTGCACATTTCTTGCACGACAAAGATGTGTTTCATCATTTGAAAAAGAAGATAAAGGTTTGGTACATTTAAATGTTGCCTATGTTTATTTTAGAAGAATGTTTTTTTGTGATTACATTTTTTCATATGGTACACGTATTCTCAAATATGGCCATTTTGTGGGGCCACTTCTAATCTATATGATCCATATATTTCTACTTCTCTACATTTAATTTCTTACTTAGGGAATACTCGAGTAAAGTACCTCTAGAAAGCTAAAGTTGCCCTGTCTGCTCATTTACATTTGAAATACAAAGATATAATCAGCTTCTAAACATGTGTTAGTTTAACAGTTGTTTTCCATAGGCATGCAAAGTGTTTTGTTTTTTCATTCATTTATTCAGCCAAGTTGGTCATTTCTTTTCTTTTCCAGTAGCAGAAGGAACCACATGGAGTATTGATTGATAGATAGGAAATGTCTAAAAGCAAAACATCTATTGAACAGACCTTTCGGACTACTTGGATGAAGTCCTTGGCGCTCTGTGGGCCGCGGCCCTGCAGCTGCCGTGTGCACGCCTCTAAGGAAGACGCGTGGGCTACAATCAGCACGTTGTTTCCTACGGAGAGTGGAAACCCAGGCAGGATGGAACATCAGCAGTGGACAAACCCATGAGCATGCAAAACAATAAAGGATGAGGTTCCTCTCTTAGCAGGAGCTCTGCTGTGTTTCTCACCAGTGTTTCTGCAGTCTGACAGGATATCTTTGGTCACTTGGTAGCTCCGGCTCATGTAGGTCTCGTAAGGTTCGGACACACTGAGCTTGCTGACTGGGATCAGAGGTCTGCATTGAGACAAAAAGAGATTTTTACAAAACCACTGGTACATAAAAAAAACATTAATAAAAAAAAAATATAAATCTTGATTAACTTTGAATGGAAGTGCACTGTGGTTTGGGGTTGTTGTTTTCAGTTAAAAAGATCCAATTTAACAGCACTCATCAAACATACAGGTCAAAGCTATCGACAACTTCTGTTAGTGAACTGGCAGAATGGATAGAAAACACAGCAACATCTGCTGCATGTTAAGCATGTAAACTGCACAAATAAACCGTACATTACCTTATCTACATCTTTTATTTTTTAATTCGAACCCAGGCGGGTAAAACTAAGACATGGGGTTCCAGCCTACCAGGTGATCTACTGCCAATCAATTGACAGGCAAACATTTAGGGATGGCTTTGTAAAACTATGTGGGACGTTTTGCAGATGACACATTCTTCTACATGTCTAATGAACACAGCATTTGAACTGCACAAGGTGTGCCTTGTTTGTATCACCTGTATGTTGTGTCCACACTGAAGTGGGCTGCAGCCAGGTCAGTGGGGGGGATCCACGCAGGCAGGGAGGTCCCCGAAACCCACTTGGTCCACTCAAAAAGCCCCGGTTCCACTCGCACCTTCAACTTACCATCCTGCTGCAGACCTACACACACACACACACACACACACACAACACACACACACACACACACACACACACACACACAGACACACACACACACACACACACACACACACACACACACACACACACACACACACACACACACACACACACACACACACACACACACACACACACACACACACACACACACACACACACACACACACACACACACACACACACACACACACACACACACACACACACACACACACACACACACACACACACACACACACCACACACACACAGCTCTTTAGCTCATCTTCAAATTAAAAGGAAATCCAGGCAAACTTAACCTCTTCTCTCACCTTTCAGGATGTTCTGTGCAGTCTGAACACATCGCAGAGAAGGAGAACAGTACACAAAGTCGATCACTGTGTTACTCTCTAACAGAGCCTCACCTGAGAAGAAGCACATATGAGTCACATTAAACAAACAGATTTCTTCCCCTGCCAAGGTGTAGTGCATCATTTAAAAAAGTATTTTAGTGACGTACCCACAAGTCGAGCCTGTGTGGATCCGATCACAGTGATGGGAGCGTCCATGTCGTAATCTCTCTGCCCCCCCCACAGCGGCAAACTGGGAGGCATGTTCAGATTGGAGCGTACATATCTGCCTGCAGAACAACAGAGCACACATTCTCAACTGTAAAGCCATTTCCTTAAGGCAGTGAAAAGTAGGAATGTTTTTGACTTATTGTCTACCAGCAGCTTTTCACCTTTACTGTCGGAGCAGAGGGAGTGCCAGTGTTTTCCGAACACCACGTCCATCCTCTCCCCATGCCGACAGACGAAGAGCGTCCGCTTGGGCTGCCTAGAATGACTGCTACTTATCCGCAGGACCTGCAGGGAATAAAATGCATCAATACATTGCTTTGTACAAATATTTAGGCGTGATGTTTGACAGGTGGCAGTGAAGAGGCAGAGACTATGGCTGCAGCCACACGGAGACGATACAGGTCGTATCCGTTACAGTTATCTATCATATAGACTGTTCGGCCACAGGAGGCCGACAGGGAAACGTAGAAACGATAACGATAACGGGTCCCAAGGTGGGTAGATCTGCAGACGCAACGCTCTGGGGGGCCAAACGGCTCCGTGAGGCCAAACGGCTCCGTGATTACGACCTATACGATCATTTCCTGATAACGAAAATACTGACGGGCTGTCAGGAGAGGGGGAGGAAAGGAGAGACTCCGTATATATTTCTTATATTATTATATAGAGTCCTTATTCATTTGTTTTAAAGCTCAATAAATAACAAAGAAGACCTTTGACCGGCACTTTTATAATTTTGTCGGAAGATTTAAACTTTAACGGACATGTTGACTGGAGGAAAAAAATGTTTCTGAAACTCTGCCACACGGTTCCCTCGTCCCTTGGAAGAGGCGGAGAGGTGGGTGTTTTTCATCTGCTGGTGGACTACCGGGGAGATTTACAGCAGGAGCACACGCTTGCCTCAGGGAGGGAGGAAAAGAGCCAGAGCCCTGGCCCCTGCCTCTCCCCAACTCTGCTGCTAAATCCACAGCGGAGAATAAACAGAAGGGCAACCATGGTAACCATGCACGCTCGTGACGTCTTCTTCGCTGCTTTTGGTGTATTTTGTGGCGGAAGTACAGCACCACTTACAGGCCCGGCATATTTACTATAGCGTCTCCAGCGGGTCGAGCGGTCTTGTGTGGACGGACACGTTTCTGGTGCCGATTGCGTGTGGACGGAAGACTTTTTTGATATCGAATTCGGTTTGTTTTTGTTACCGCCTCCGTGTGGCTAGGGTCTATAAATGTGGATATAGAGAGGGGTATGACATGCACTGTTACCACTCGGCTACCAAGGCACTTTTTGTCATAGGGGAACCATGAGGGTATTTTCTCTTGTCTGAAAGAAGCCCTTTCCTGTATTGTGTTCAATAGTTTTTTATGCATGTAAATGGTCTGCAAAGGCTAAAATCCGTGTGCTCCCCCCAGAGGGAGTTTCTCTCCCTCACCCTGCCTGAAACGCCGCCATTGGACTCCTTTGTTTACTTCCATAACATAATGACATCACTATGTAACACTTGCGCTTCTATTGGCTAGTGCTCCAACGCATTGTATGTGATAGTCTAAGGGGCGGGACATCTCTAAGCTGTGTGAACAATCACAACAGAGCCGGCCGGCTAACCAATCAGAGCAGACTGGGCTGTGGTTTCAGACAGAGGGTGAAAAGAGGTGCTGCAGCACAGGCAGTATGAGAAAAATAAAAGAGCTTTTTGAACATTAAAGCATGGAGACATGTCACAGTAGACGCAAAACATACAAATATGAACCTGAAAAAAACGGCATAATATGTCCTCACTAATGACATTATCGAAAAGGTTTTGCCAGGATCATCTTTTTTATATTCTTTTTTCATCTGTTCTGCCGTTAGGGGGGACATGAACAAAAACAGAACAATAACAGTTATAAAGGCTAATGTACCTGCATTGGATGACAGATGAGACTGAGGGTGGGGGTGTCTCCAGGACTGCTGTTCTCCATCCGTCGGCTGTCCAGCAGCCCGTCAAACATCCCTCTGTCCTTACTGCTCCTGTCACTTGGCCCACAGCTGAAGAAGGAATGGGAGCTGTGGGGGGAGAGCAATTCAATAATTGGCAATACCTTCCTCCATTAAAATAAATTGTTATACTTTCAGCAAATATAAGTTAAAAGGCAAGATGTACATTTTAAGAGGGACCACAAATGATTCCCATTCGTTTTTAACTGGCTAACATTTGGATCTAAAAACACCTCAGTGCAAGACTAAGTTAGAATGGCTTATGATTGACTGGAAAATTGCACTTTTGATAAACAAATGATTTAATTTAATTTAATTGTTTCTTTACATCCCCAGATGAAATTAACAGTATTTTTCTTTGATATTATTACATTTTTTAAAACTTTTTATATAGTTTAGGCATTTAGGACCATCTCCTGTGCCAGTGTGGCGTGCACTGCTCACCCGTGGAACACCCAGGTCTCGGACTCATCCGCCAGGCTGACATAGTTCTCAGGCAGCAGGCCGGACAGCCCTGAGCCCAGCGATGTCCCGTACACCCAGCCCTCGCTGGTACTGCTCTGATCCACCGGAGACATGAAGACAAAATCTCCAGGAACCAGCTCCAGCTCATCCTCGTTCTGAGGCGAGTAGGGGTACATTACCCGCAGCGTCTGCAGAGGAACTCATTAACTAACGTAGTGACATTTACAACTCATAAATAGGCTTTGGTTTTGAATATCACCCACCTCATGGTTTGCAAAACGAATGTCCCGGGAAAACAAGACTGCCAGCCAATCACAGCCCAGCTTAACTTCGATGCCCTTGGCCAGTTTCTCCAGCGAAGGCAGGTGATTGGTGGGGAAGTTGTAGGCCAGAGTTACATGGAGCTGCTTCTTATGAGGCTCCACATGCACCTCTGGAAGAAAAACGTCCGTAGTTCAAGAAGTTTCAGTAAGGTCAATGTTCCATAATCATCAGAGAGTCCAACCAACAACGCTCAACATTTCCCCATCAGATTCAAAAGACACACTGATCTTTACCAGAAACAGAAATATGACAGTGCGTTAGTGCCAACACCATGGATCTAATCTGATTTGGCTCTGAGCTGCCTGAAATACTCTTTGGCAGTCAGTATCTTTTTCGCCTGTGTTTAAAGGAGAGTTACAGCGACAGATGAGCGAGAGTTTTAATAACCCGCCACGACCGCCACCCTGACCAATCATTTACTGACATTGCTGGGGCAGACAGCCGGTCACCACACATTACACGGCCATGGTATAGTGATGAACTGATGCTGAACTCTATACCAGCGGTGAAAAGGAAGCAAGTACATTTACTCAACTACTGTAATTAAGTGCATTTAATGGTGCTTGTACTCTACATGAGTGTTTCCTAGGGCTGTCAAAGTTAATGTGATAATAACGCGTTAATGCAACTTCCTTTGAAAACCACAATTCATTTTGTCACTAGTTTTTGCACACATGTTCCTTGACCCTCAGCCCACTCCGTAGTTTGGGAAATCAGGCAGCGATGGTGCAATAAAGTTGTGAATGGCGAGCAAAAGAAAAAGCCTGAAATGTTTATAAAAGTATATATTTGTATAACGCCTCCATCATATTTGTCCATAAGTTTATTGAAAACATGGAAAATATCCCTTTAAGGTACATTTAATGTCCAATCTGCATAATGAATACTTGGTACGTGAAGCATTTCTTGATGCTAAAACTATTAATCTTTTACTGTAGTTACATTGTTAAAGGTGGGGTAGGTAAGTTTGAGAAACCGGCTCGAGATACACTTTTTGTTATATTCCATGGAATGCTTAACATCCCGATAGCAATGAATATCTGAAGTGCTTTGACAAAAAATCCATAAAAAACGTCATCTGTGGAAGCCGTGGTACTGTAAAAATCACGACCAATCATTTTAGCCGGCCCGGCTAAAGTAACTGGATGGCCTACCTGCCTGTCAGCCTTCCATCTGTGCACAAACTTATCTCGTGCCCTCACTGGTCATGTGCGCGTTCGTGTGTGTTGGAGGAGGGGCTCTGTAAGGAAGTGGCAGATTTCTTCCGGCTGTGTATTTTCAAATTCTAGCTACTCGAGCTGGTTTCTCCAAAATTACCTACCCCACCTTTAAGTAACAAGGACTTTTACTTGTAACACTTCCTAAACAAGTGGTAATCCCAGGGCATTGTGTTTGTATTTATTCATTTGATTCTTTATGTAAACAGGCAGGCTCATTGAGAGCAGAGTATGAAACACAAGCACACACATAATGAAGATAATGCTGTGTTGCGCTTCACTGCTAATGCTTGTTGAAGTGACTGATTTCTGGCTTTAACTTATATAAAGCCACATGAGGTCAGGTGAGGCTGTCCAAAACACTTTTCCCAAATAGAATGCATCGATATGTTGTTGAGTTCTTCTTAAACACGATGATGATTTATTCAGCAATAAACTCTGGTTGACTCTCCGGGAAACAAAAGAAATCCAACTTCCAAATGTCACTACTGTAATCAGGCAATCGATTGTCAAAAATACTTAAAATAGTGTGCCAAATAATGCGATCTTCTATGTAAAATAATGCGCCAAATAACGTGGTCAGAAAACTGTAGGCCCTCCGCCATCTTACTGGAGAACACTAAAATGATCTCGTCTATTTAAAGCCCCGCTCACCACAGGTGCCCACAATCAAAACATATTTATATAAATACTAGCTTTCATAAATATATTTCAAAGATTATATTTCAACTCAAAATATATCTAAGATATGCTCATCTTAAAAGGCTCCAATGCTTGTGCTTCCTACCTGCCTTCCTGGCGGCCTCTGTGGAGAAGTCAGCGGCAAACTGCTTGAGGACGTCGGCCACCGTCTCCTCCACGAACAGGCCGATGAAGTTGGAGGATGTGTAGAGCTCCAGAGGCAGAGGGCTGGGGAATCGACCCCGCCACTGCTGGACGGACGCCTGCAGGGCCTCACACAGGGCTTCCACTTTGTGGTCTGCACACTGTGCGGAAGGAGGGTTCATGGGAAATTGGAAAATGTAAAAAAATGGTTCTTTGTTGTGCAGACAGAGATAAGTTAGGGTAATGAAGTACATGTCTGAAATAGTCATAACACACAGGATGAAATCACAGTGCAACTGATATTAATGAACATTAATTATTGTCCTTCGTGAAGCTGTACAACTCACCATGAAGAACTGGCAGAGGGTGATGTGTGGGAAAATGTTGTGTGCTTTGTTTTTGCCACATGTGACGCGGCTCTGCTGCCAGAAGTGTGACAGCTGGTTCTGCAGGGGTCCGCTGGGCCGCAGGTAGAGGACAAACTCCCTGGGCAGAGGGTCGTCCAGGAACGGGTCATCTACATGAGAGAAGAGCCTGGAGGGAGAGGGAACAAGCCTTCAGTTACTTTGAAGCTTCTATTGAGGTTTAGAAATGATGCTTCGAATGTCTGTCGTCATTATAATAATAAAGTTATTCTATTCATTCGAGTACAATGACTGGGGCAAGCAGATGCGCAAAGTGGGGCCATACAAAATGGATTGAAGCAGAATATATATATATTATTTAAAAAAATATTTTTTTGTGCAACCAGTCCCTTTATTATAGAGATAACATAGTAATGGGGAAGCAGAAGCGACAACATGCGTCAAATGGTCCCAGGCTCACTTGGCGCTACAGTACATGGGCAGCCAGCTAATTCACACTATTGGTCTTTACAACACTCAGGAGTTTTTGTAAATGTTCACATTTGCCTGAATCATACATATGCAGCTACAACTTGAATCTAATTCTACAAATAGTATCATACTTATAATAAATTCAAGATCCACTTTAATTAATCCCAAGGGGGAATTCAGTTTTTCCCTCTGGTGTTATTTTATAATTACACATAGGACCTATAGACATACACTGATGGAAAGGTGTCATAGTGAAAGGGCTGCCAGTGTTCTGGCGCCAGTGAGCAGTTAGGGCTCAGTGCCTTACTCAAGGACACCTTGGCAGTTCCCAGGAGGTGAACTGGCACCTCTTCAGCTACCAGTCCACACTCCGTATTTTTTGGTCCAATCGGGACCTGAACCGGGGACCCTTCAGTTCCCAAGCTGAGTTCCCTCCAGACTGAGCTACTGCGTCCCATATTGGTCTATCGTACTCCTTAGATGCAAACATACCAGCTTTAAACACAATTCATATGAATAGACATTTAAAAGCATTTGAATGTCAATGTTATGAAAAAAACATTGATGCTTCTGACTCTTCAGTACAGCTCTTTCGATGGTAACATCACTATACCTTGAAGTCAATGACAACAAACATTTTAAAAGAACTCTTTGGCATTCAATATTCCAATGATCCTATTTGCTCTACAATAATTAGGGGGGACTTTGTTCTGCCAAATGCATTCAAAATATGCAGCATGCTTCAATTTACCAGCACTTTGATAACATAGTGTGTAAATGATAGGTAGCACTTTTTTCTAATTTGGTGACATTTCTTATCACACATATTTGTATTAAATCTGTTGAGAGGAAGCTAATGAAATTATTAAATATATCATTATTAATATTATATTATTATTATTTTTGTTATTTATTTGCCTACAGAGGTTGCATTTCATTTCTCAAAAGTAAGAGGGCTGCTTGAAATGAATCAATAAAATCATTATTTCTCAACAATATACACAGGATATACTGTACCAATTTGTACAACAGAGGGCAGTATAACACAGATTTTCCGTAACTTTGGATGGGTCTATAAACTATACATAAATGTAATGTTTTCACTCACCAGTCACATGCTGCTTGAACACTCCGACCTCCTGTTGATACCAGAGCTTTCAGTCTGTAAGAGAGCAAAGCAGGAAAATAAAATCTCATTATTTTCACATTACATGTTATTTAGCTGACCCTATAATCCAAAGCAACTAACATACACTTCAATTTCCAGACATGCCTAAGAGAGCAATTCAGGGTTAAGTATCTTGCCCAAGGAACCGTACAAATATTGGCTACAGGTCATTTGAACACCACTGAGAATTTTCATCTACATTGTAATCATGTATAGAGTGAAAATATGCGCAGTAACAGAGTTTGAATAGCCAGCACTGCAGCAAGGAGAAATGTGGAGAAGATACTTCTATCTGAATGAAGTTAATCATTGATCTTCTCTTTACAGGAGTCTGCTTCCTCAGGAGTTTTCTGGCAGATGGCAGATAAAAGAAAAACGGTCTTGGATCCACACCTATGTGGAAGCTCTGTAGATATTTAGAGATGAAAATTAAGGCTTTAAAGACGATAACCAAACAAAATAAGGTTTAAAGCTGTTGATGGAATACTGCCACTCTAAATGGGAACAACAAATAGAAATAGTAGAATAGTAGAGTTTTTAGATTTATTTCACGTCATTACATTGTAACTTTAAGATTAGGAGTCTATAAACTTGGGCTATGAAACCAATAGAATACCATTAAAAGTGTTAAATTCCTCCAGGCGAACTGCAAAGTCGATGGTCCTTTTCTGTTGGTTTGTCACTACGAGTCACAAGACCTGTTGTTAATCTAAAAATGTTGAGCAGTGCTTCTTTAAAACATTTCATTATACATTTGGTGAACTAGAAAGGCTTTTGACGTAGAACTCCGCCAACGCTGTTTCCATAAGTAAAACAGTACGTGTATCCACCCCATGATTCGTATCCTCCCTAAATCTACTCTTCCTTGGCTCATGCTTCAACTTTCCACCAGGTTTCAGGACATTTTGGCCAGAAGATGTTTTGACAATCTTGCTGACAAACCAACAAACCAAACCGTACATTGTGAAAGGTAACAATTCAGTTTTGTATTCTATATCTATGTGTGCATCTAGACCAGGTGACGACAATACCTATTGACGCAGCAACCACTGTAAGTTATATTCTTGTTTAATTAGACTTCTCTGTTTCATTTATTCTACTCTGTATAATTGTTCTGTAGTTATTGTAGCTAAAACGGCGCTTTTGAGAGATTTTAAATCTCAGATCTGCTCAAGTGAACCTGTTACACAGGTCTCAGTAGGGGCACTCAAGCCTGCATTACAATATAGGCAGGGCCAGTCTGCTGTCGCCCATCAGCTGTAGAGAGTTAACTAATTAGAGGGGCGTGGCCCCACAGCTGTGAGAATTCAGCAATCAGGCATAGGTAGCTCTTTCCTGGAGCGTCAGCTTTAGCGTCAGGCAGTCGAAGACTGACAAAGACATTGGAGTCCTGCGGGAGTAAGACTGACAAAGACATTGGAGTCCTGCTGGAGTCACGAGGGAGACAAAGAGGAGGCAAATCCTACTCTGATTCAGCTAATTACCGCTGGTGTCTTATTTCTCTTTTCTTTAGTTTTCTAGCCCCTCAGGCTATAATCATATGTATTTTCTCCATTCCTGTTCATGTGTCTTCTCGCAATTATCACTGGCCCTGTGTATCTCCTAATCGCTATAACCGGCCTGCTCTCAGCTATCCCACATGCTCCACTGAGATCCAACATCTAGTTTCAGGTGGCCTGTGGAACTGCCAGTCAGCTGTTCCTAAGGCTGACTTCATCTCTGGCTACGCCTCCCTACAGTCCCTGGATTTTCTTGCTCTCACTGAGACCTGGATTACTCCATTCAACACATCCACCCCAGCAGCTCTCTCCACAGCATATTCGTTCTCCCATACACCCAGACCCACTGGCAGAGGAGGTGGCACTGGTCTCCTGCTCTCTCCCAAATGGAGCTTTTCCCTCTTCAAGCTACCTAACTTCACTCCTTCCACCTTTGAATTCCATGCCGTCACAGTAACCCATCCTATACAATTAACCATTGTTGTTCTCTACCATCCACCAGGCGCCTTGGGGGACTTCTTGGAGGAATTAGATAATCTCCTCTCACACATCCCTGAAACTGGCCCTCCCGCTGTACTTCTCGGAGACTTCAACCTCCAGACAGGGAAGATAGACGAACTAACATCTCTGTTAACCGCCTTTGCTTTCTCACTGTCTCCTTCCCCACCAACTCATAAAGCTGGCAATGTCCTTGATCTCATATTCTCAAGGAACTGTGCTACTTCTAACCTCTCTGTAAACCCGCTCCACACATCCGATCACTTCTTCATTTCATTCTCTCTACCCCTTTCCAAACATAACAAACTAATCTCTTCTCATCCTGCACCTTTCCGCCGTAACCTTTGTTCCCTCTCCCCCTCTACCTTTGCCTCATCGGTGCTCTCAGCCCTCCCTTCCTCGGACTCGTTCCAACTACTACCTCCTAACTCTGCTGCAGAAACTCTCCTCTCTACTCTCTCATCCACTCTGGACTCTCTCTGTCCTCTCACATCTCGGCAGGCTCGTCAGTCCCCTCCTGCTCCCTGGCTAAATGATGCACTGCGTGCTAATAGAACCGTCTTTAGAGCAGCAGAGCGGAAACGGTGGAAATCCAAACACTGTGACGACCTCCTAACCTATCAGGCTCTGCTCTCCTCTTTCTCTGCTTCGATCTCTCAGGCAAAAAGCACTTTCTTTCAAGATAAGATCCAATCTTCCTATTCCAATCCCAAAAAACTATTTTCCATCTTCTCCACCCTCTTGGACCCTCCCAAAGCCCCTCCCCCCTCCTCACTTCTGTCAAGCGACTTTGTTATCCACTTTGAAAAAAAAGGTTGATGATATTCGCTCTTCTTTTCTGACTCACCTATACTCACCGCTGGGTCACCAGACCCTCCTTCCACCCACACACTAACCTCCTTTTCCCCTCTCTCTCCAAGTGAGGTTCTCACCCTCATTACCTCTGCCCGCCCTACCACCTGTCCTCTGGACCCCATCCCTTCAAACCTCCTTCAGACTATCGCTCCTGATATTCTACCGTTTCTCTCCCATTTCATCAACACTTCTCTAACTTCTGGTCACTTTCCAAACAGTCTCAAGGAGGCAAGAGTAAACCCTCTCCTAAAGAAACCCACTCTCAACCCGTCTGATGTTATAAACTACAGGCCTGTCTCTCTACTCCCGTTCCTGTCTAAAACACTTGAACGCGCTGTCTTTAAACAACTCTCCTGTTATCTCCATCAGAACAACCTTCTGGATCCGCACCAGTCTGGTTTCAAGGCAGGTCACTCCACAGAAATTGCTCTCATTGCTGTCACGGAGGAACTGCACACTGCCAAAACAGCATCCCTCTCCTCTGTCATCATCCTGTTGGACCTGTCTGCTGCATTCGACACGGTGAATCATCAGATCCTCCTTCGCACTCTCCAAGAACTTGGAGTTTCAGGCTCTGCACTTTCCCTCCTCACCTCATACCTCAAAGACCGTACCTACAGGGTAACTTGGAGAGGGTCTGAGTCCGACCCTTGTCAATTAACTACAGGGGTCCCTCAGGGCTCTGTTCTTGGTCCCCTCCTCTTCTCCCTGTACACAAACTCGCTCGGATCAGTCATTAGCCCGCATGGTTTTTCATACCACTGCTACGCTGACGACACCCAATTAATTCTGTCCTTTCCCCGCTCAGAGACCCAGGTCGTCGCACGCATCTCTGCTTGTCTAGCTGACATCTCTCAGTGGATGTCTGCTCATCACCTCAAGCTCAACCTTGACAAGACTGAGCTGCTTTTCCTTCCGGGAAAAGATTGTCCCACTCTTGACCTAACAATCAACATCGGCACCTCTGTTGTTTCCCCGACTCAGACTGCAAGGAATCTGGGTGTGACCCTAGATAACAACCTATCCTTCACTGCAAACATCGCTGCTACAACCCGTTGCTGTAGATACACACTTTACAACATCAGGAAGATACGTCCCCAGCTGACACAGAAAGCGACGCAGGTTCTGGTCCAGGCTCTCGTCATCTCACGCCTAGACTACTGCAACTCCCTCCTGGCTGGTCTACCTGCATGTGCCATCCGACCTCTGCAGCTCATCCAGAATGCAGCGGCTCGTCTGGTCTTCAACCTTCCTACATTTTCCCACACCACTCCGCTCCTCCGCTCGCTTCACTGGCTTCCGGTAACTGCTAGAATCCACTTCAAGACACTGGTACTTGCTTACCATGCTGCGAATGGATCTGGCCCTTCGTACATCCAGGACATGGTTAAACTGTACACCCCAGCGCGTGCACTACGCTCTGCATCAGCCAAACGACTCGCTGCACCCTCGCTGCGAGGGGGACCCAAGTTCCCATCAGCAAAAACACGTGGGTTTGCTATCCTGGCTCCAAGATGGTGGAATGAGCTCCCCATTGACATCAGGACAGCAGATACCTTGCACATCTTCCGGCGCAGACTGAAAACTCATCTCTTTCGACTCCACTTCGAGCGATAGAATTATTAACAAAGCACTTATATACTAATAAAGGACTGGCTTATCTAAAGCCAGTTGAGTAGCACTTGAAATGTTTGGCTCTATGAAACCTGATGTACTTATATGATTCTGTTTTCTTCAAGGTTATGTCTTCCTGGTCGAATGTACTTATTGTAAGTCGCTTTGGATAAAAGCGTCAGCTAAATGCAATGTGACTAGAAGGGATTTTGGAGAGCGCAGATCTCCGCCAAGTAAAAAAGAATACATGTATCCACCCCTTGATTAGGATTTAAACGTGAGGAACAGAATACTGGCACATTTTCACCAAGTTTTATTAAAATATTTCCATAATCTTGCTGACAAACAAATAAACTGAACCGAAAATATAAAGTCATTTAGGGAAGGTAACAATTTAGTTTTGTGTTGCAATAAAACCATTTTTAATGTACAACACTTTCATTTAAAAAAGGTATTTACATATTATTTTCATTCCCACCTTTTAATGCAAAAGGTCAGCGTGTGTAAATGAGTAATGGTACATTTATG